TTTATCAACATTTTTTAAGGAATTATTTCGACATCTTATTACTGTCGAAATGAATAATTTTAAATATTTTATTATTAATATTACATTTTTATATCTATAAACAGATTTCTGTAATTATTAAAATTGTCTCGTTTGTTTAACAGTACAATGGCCCCGAAATGCATTAACGTTTTATAACCGACACGATACTCAAATTGTAAATAAATGCATCTGATTTAAATTAATTGTAGTTTTAAGTCTTCACCCATTTGAATATCGAAATTGGAATATTTAAAACAAATTTAAAGTGTTTAATTTTGTTGTTTTTGTTCCGAGCAGTTAATTAATGAGTAATTTTGTCGATTCGTACCGTTCACGACATTTATCAAAGAAACGATGTCTGTTTTTATCTAAACTTTTCCACGAACAAAGCTACCACTCGAATTGAAAAGCCCTCTAAACCTGCTGTCCAGTGAGTCTAGAAAATAGGTCAAATAACTTGTTTCTAATCGCTGTCTACATTGTGGCAGGCGAGAAACGCCGTCTCTGCAATAAAATTTTTCTGAACAGCGGTCTACCCGATCTGTAAACCGCCGCCGGCCTCTAAACGTTCTCTCTGCAATCGGCTGTTAGCGATCGCAATTCAGACTGTAGCTCAATAAACCTTATAATTTTCTATGGCCGGATGGCCGAGCAGTCAAGGTAGCAGCCTACCGTTTTGGGTGACCCTAGGATCGAAACCGGCGGGGTCGAAAACACCCCAAGAATTAAATAATGTAAGATAAAAAGTAGTGAGAAAGGTCAAACAGACTATCTGTTATGCAAATATTCTCTTCCTCACTTCTTTATTTTTGTCCGTTCTCTCCTTTCCGTGCATTTGGGTCTATAATCCTTTTTAGTCCAACTCAAGCTTTATTTAGTATTCTTTCCAGCGTTGCAAAATTTGGCTACCATTTTTTAGTTTGGTGTAAAAATATCATTCGGCGCATTCGCTACTTTTTGGGCTACATATTATTTATAAATATATTAGTTGAATAAAAATGCACTTTAAAATAATGTTTTGTCGTTTTTATAAATTAGAGACCAAAATAACATAAATATTTGTGTTTTCAATTAATTTTGTGTTTGTCTTTTTTATAATAAACTAATTGTTACCCGCGACTTCGCCCTCGGAGGTTTTGCAAGCAAACCCCATTTATATTCAGTATTTCAACAACCATGGCAATTATTATAACACCTACTGCCGAGAATGATGAGAATTGCTGAGAATCAAACAAATTATTTTCAATTTGATGAATTTTCTGGAACGTTTACAATCGTTCTATAATCAAACCAATATGCAATAACAAATTCGAACTTAAAAGGGTTCAAACATTTGGTTAAAAAATTGAAATATATAAAAACATTTATAACAATGTCTAAAATGTTATTAATTTAATACACTTAAGTACTTAATGAAGACTAAACGTAACAAAAAATCGCATGTAAAATAGTACATTACAAGTTGTTCTTCTGGTTAAGCCTTAATGCTCTCCCTCTCCCCCCGCTGGGAAACTTCGAAAAATCCCTTCTTAGTGAGCGTTTTCATGACGTACCCTGTGTACCAAATTTCACCTCTTTAGGTTCAGCGTTTTACTCTGGGCGATGATGAATCAGTGAATGAGTCTGTCAGTCGGTCAGTCAGGACAAGCAATTTTATATATATAGATGAATTTATCTATTTCTAAGTAAAAATTAAAAGTGTCTTTAAAAGAAGTTTTTTAAAATATCCTTTTTCGTGATAAAGTTTTAATATTTATTACTATAATGTAGATATGGTAATCCTTAATTTAAGGATTATCATGCTACTTCTACAGACACTTTCAATTTTTACTTACCAATATACTTGTGGCTCGAAACTCTATGATTTCTTCCGATGTGGCCCAGAGAAACAAAAAGGTTGACACCCCTAGTATAATCGTATGTTATCCGCATTTACTCGCCTAATTTGTAATATGTATGTCTTAGATTTCTAGTTTTATTAAACTTTTATTTGTTGAGTTTAAAAACCGGTCTGACTGTCTATTACTCAGAACCGGAATACCTTATCGACTTTCCCATCGCGCTCCCCACTCGATCGATTTAAACACCTTTTCATTTAAAGCCATTCGGTAACCCTGTGAGCGAATTCTACCAACTCGACGATCACAGGGCTCAGACCCTCGCTCGTATTCTCACACAATAAAATATTTAAAACTTATTCAAATAATTTTATGATAATCAACTCTTATAAACTGCTTAATTAATAATTAGATTTGTTTATTCAAACGCATTTAAGGTGTGTCATTATAATATAACTGCAATTATTCATTTTTCTCGTCTATCGTGTCCTTCATCGATATGCAATTATTCTTTATTGTCGTCTTTCGTGTCCTCGATACCTGTATTATTAAACTGCATAAACAATGTTTTACTGTAGTAATTTAGAGGAAATAACGAAGATGCTGTATTTATAATTATTATATTCTATATTTTAGTTGAATCCAGCAACATAAAAACGATTTTAATTTATATAAAAATTTATTATATACGGGTTTATCGTTCACGTTTTACTGGTATTCTTGGGAGAAATTGCAGATATTACACATGATTTACATTTAAGAAACATTAAATTATTTAAGTAATTTTTAATTTTTTGTGTTTTTTATAATCGAAAATATCACACTAATTAAGAATAATAAAATATTAATAGATGCAAAATATCTTACTGGATACAATGGCGTTTATAATATGCCAGTAATATTTATACGCTTCTAAAATATCATTTTTCATATTCTGATATTAAATAAAAATTCCAGCATATTGTATATCGTGAGTTTTCTAATTTACTACTCGCTGTCTGTAAGATTTCTCGTGTTGAAGCTGGCTGTTTATTAAAACAAATGCAATATACTACTTGTTATATTTTTTGATGTACGATATTTCACTTTTAAACAAATTAACGAAAGATTTCCCATTTCATATATTTGAGAAGATTTAATCTTTCAGTGTTAATATCTAAGAATAGTTTAGCATATGTAGATTTTTACAGCTATGGTGAGAAACGTTTAAAATTTACAACAACCCTGTCGCGTGTTTTGAGGTATACTAGTGATGCGACAAAAGAGGCATTTGACATTGACTAGTATCGTCACCCTCGGGATTTGGCAGCTCGCGTGCATGCACGCTGCACACTTACCACGACCGTCTCTGATTCCTTCCGTTAGCCACTCGTAGGGAGCTATTTAGCTAAGTGGATTGTTTTAGAATTTAAAAAGTAAAGAATAATTTATGCTATTTTTATGTACGTTTCTTTAAAAGATGTATTTAATTATAATTTTCTTTAAGAGTATATTCATACAATTCAAGAATATTTTGAACGTGGTATGTACAGTAGGGCATTGATTATCCGAATCAATTGGGAACTGGGGTGGTTCGGATAACTTATTTTTCGGATAACGAACCATGTACGAGAAAATATATTAATTTATCCCGTGTTGAAATTTTTCTCCATTGCGTGTCGCTTCGCGTTGCATTTTCGTCGATGTTAAGCCGAACGAAGACTATTGTATCNACATCAGAGTCTTTTAGTATACCATTGTATATACATTGAATAGTTTACACAACAAAACACCAATGTAACATAAAAAGATCACTTATTTACAAATATGTTCAATATCATACATAAAATCGATTATAAATTTGGAAACAAGTTTTTAAGTTTGGTGCTCTTTAGCAAAAGACGCCAAGAGTGTCTTTTTCATGCTCATAGTTAATTCGAGCAGACCCACAATGAGGACGACGAATTGGTGAGAAACTTAGTCTAACATATTTTGGTCCCAATATACTGCCCATAAAATATTTCTGGTGGTCGTTCAGTTTCGATTAAAGATTCTTAGTGTAGTAGATTGAAGTTTCAACCACTCAGTAGATTAGTCCTTTCAATATGGGCTTAATATCAATCTAATCGTCATGACTATATTATCCACCATATTTATCTGTTAGCTTAATTTATGGCCAATTTCCACAGAAAACACCGTATTATTATATGGTTGAGAACTGTTAATGCCTAACTTGAACAAAGTTTTCGTGATCTATAACTGAATCTGGAAACAATTGCGAATAAAACAAACTAACAGTTAATTGAATAATATTCAATCTATAAGTTAAAAACAGAAACAGAAAATGATTAGCACATATATTTAAAATATATTACATATGTCTTACAATTTCCAAATAAGATATAATTTTCTGCGTATCCCAAATCATAAATCAAAATAATTTTTATTTCAAATTAGATAAATTTTTAAAGTTTATATATTCTAACCTTTTATCAATATTGGATGTTGCTTCGTCCATGACAAGAATTTTATTCTGACGAAGAATGGTCCTGGCAAGGCAAATTAACTGTCTTTCCCCAACGCTGAAATTTCGTCCTCCTTCTGATAAATGTGTATCCAATCCGCCAGGTAATTTACTAATTACTTCTTTTAATTGCACCTTTAATTCAGAAGTTTTTAAAGTGTATGTGTTATACACGATAATTAATTTTAATCATTAGAAAGAGTTAAAGAGATAAAACAGGTAGGAAATTAACTAATTATTTCTAACCTCTTCAATGGCTTGCCACAGATTTTCTTCCGAATATTCATTGAAAGGATCGATATTTCTTCGAAGAGGACCGGTAAATAACATCGGATCCTGAAAAAAAAGTACATATCTGGTGTATTAATTGCTTCTGTTGTACAAGTAGTATTTATATAAAATTTAATAGATATTGTTTTACATTTCTGTGTATAAACTGCCTACTTGGACCTTGTTTATTAGTAGAACTTATTATACTGATGGAGGCTTTGATTAGCAAAAAGACGAGATCATACTCGAAGTCAAAACAAAATATCATTATTTTCAGCTGTTAATACATAGTACATCATAAAAATATTTTGGGTAAGTTTTAATTTCTAATGATTCAAACTCATTGCTAGTAAATTAGTCGATTATTATATCATTTTCGTTTTAAATTTGCTATTCATTTTGTAATGCAGTTACCAGCTTTGCGAATAGAGCAGTGCCAAATTATGCAAATAGGAAGATTATCGAAAGTTTTGTATTTTTGCAGCATTCAATTCGTTATGTTAAATCCGAATCTTGCAGAAAGTCCTGTTTATTTTGTAACAGAGCACGCTGTTCCATACTTTCGATTTGTTATGCACGCTTTTTAATCTCTCCTAATTTCATTGTGTTTACCGATCTACAAATTCAAACATTTAATTCACTAAATATTTGCATGCCAGATTATTAATTTGAGAATTTCAAATTATCAGCTATCTATATATATATAACTCAAAGGTGACTGACATAGTGATCTATCAACGCACAGCCCAAACCACTGGACGGATCGGGCTGAAATTTGGCATGCAGGTAGATGTTATGACGTAGGCATCCGCTAAGAAAGGATTTTGATCANTTGCATTTAGTATTGAATTTTAAATTTATGCAACCAACCTTGTGCAAAATTTTAATTTGATTAAAAAACTTTACTTATTTCATTTAGAAATATTTATTTTTTATGAATTATTTCAAACTATTTTATAAAGAACACGTAATCTTTCAAAACTAAGTACTATTAACTACATTAATTAAACGGTAAAATTTTACCTATGTGCACCGTGATGGCGGTGGTCTCAACTATTAGTGCTTTTGACGGACTCCTCCCGGAGGGGAGCTGCCAGCAGGCCGCTGATTGTTTAACGTCACTAGTTATTGCTTCATGGTAGTTCTTCAACACACATATCAATAACTAGTGACATTAAAGAATCGGAGGCCTGCTGGCAGCTCCCCTCCGAGAGGAGTCTGTCAGGAGCACAAACAATCGTGATTGGTGGTGTACATAGGTAAACTTTTACTAATTAAATTAATATTAACGAAAAATAAACTTACAGGAAACTTCTGGAATTTTATTTTTGGTATAAATTATATAAAAAAATTAAATGCCTTTTAGTTTATTGATTCGAGCGATTAAGATTTTGACACGTTTGGAATTACAATTTTTTTTTGTAGCACTTGCATTTATTAGATTTGCAACGAGTTTTGCAGCAGCATCGCCTATAACCTTGGCCTCCAGTAAAATTAAAATGTTGCACAGGATTAACTATCGGTTGCAAAACTTAAAATTTGGTGGTAAACGCAATATGCACGTGCAACTCAGATGCGAGCGCTAATTGGCTAGTGTATATTGGATGATCATCTTTAACATATTATTATCACTTTGCCCAATTAGGTGATAGCACTGTTCATGATGATTGGTTATTTTGATAAATTATTTATATAAAAGGTCAATGTTTCAAAAAATATTTCCTCAAAAAATTAATGAAACTTCATGGGTTAATTCCACAGAAATAACCGCCATTTTTTTTGCCTGGACCGTATTTAATTAGAGACAAAAGCGTATCTTCGTATTCTTTATTTACTTATTTACTAAGCATTTCGGATGCAATATTTTTGTGTAACTTGCACCCCTTTTCAGATTTTACATTTCTATAAATTTTTTCCAATTACAGCCTAATCCTGAAATATATTTACCTGAAATATTATTCCAGTAACATCAGTATACAGTAATTTTATCTTCTAAAAAGTTTTATGTTTAGCCTATCATAATGCATATTTTTTTTAGCATCAAACATGTGGTATAAATTCTAAAAACTACATATAATTTATCACTCAGTTAATTACCAGGCTCTAAATAATTAGAATAAGTGAATGGCAGGGGTAATACGAAGATCAGATTTGACAACATAATGACAGGTGACATAACTTTCAAAAAAGTATTCTGTTTCATTTAGTGTTATATTGTTATATCACTACGCACTCTCAGTCATAATGTGTGTACTTGCGGGACAAACGAAAAAGCGATCATCTGGGAGTTTCATCACAAGTTTGTACAAGAATTTCCATTGAAAATATAATATCATATTTATAACTTCTTGTATAAACCAAAAGTTATATTATATAAAAATTTCGTTTATACCAGAATCCATATCAATAAAATCAATATCTCGTGCTAAACTAATCAGCATTTGTATTCCATATAACTACATTATAATGATGAAAAAAACATTTGCATGCCATTGTTCCCAAAGCTCATTATTTTTACCGAAAAACAGCAGAAGAAATCGACCAACATGTAATGTCCAATTACAATAGCACTTGACGTTTTCATAGCAATGGCATAAAAGAAATTCTGCATTTTCGAATCTCCAATCTGAATTAATTTGAAACAGAAAACCCTTAAAATGTTTTTGTGAACCTACCTAAAGCCTTAAAGCTTTGAAATGAAGGCCTACCTAAAGTCTTAAACCTTTGAAATGAAGGCCTACCTAAAGTCTTAAACTTCAACCTTCTCCAAAAACCAGCAGTGTCAACTTCCCTTTCATATCAAAGATTCTTAAATAAATAAATTATTTATTGTTCTTTGTTATATCGACATGCATTTTTCTATAATCACTAGACTGATAAAAATCATTTCCCCAACGTGGGCAGTTTTATATAGTCAATTATAGTTGCTGCGAAGCCCTTAATGGGAAGGGAGACGCCTGTCATACGGGATGGACCATCTCCTAAATAATTTCTTGTATTTGTTCAGATTCTATCTAGGTATTCTGTGTTATCATGTTTAAAAAATTACATTTTTATAAAAGAAGGAAAAGACATGTTTTACAGTACAGTTGATCCCTTTATAACACCGTTGATAATTCCATTTTATATGAATTCCATGTTGTACGAGTCACTTCGTTTTTACAAATATGTGAGCCGTTCACAGCCCGGCACACGTATTTGTAAAATCTAAGTGACTCGTACAACATGGAATTCATATAAAATCGAATTATCAACAGTGTTATAAGAAACAGAAATATTTTCCTCTATGTCCTTATGTATAGGGGGTCAACTGTAAATAAATTTGAAAATTGTTAAATAAGAAATTATATTTAATAAATTTATTGTTACATACTTGAGGAATGATAGATATTTTGCTACGAAGATCCCGAAGTCCGATATCTTTAACGTCAACTCCATCGATGGTTATTGTCCCTGTCGGCTCTGTCATGCGAAATAATGAAGCAATTATAGAAGTTTTTCCTGCTCCTGTTCTGCCCACAATTCCTATCTGCAACTCATAAATAACACAAATCATTTCTGACAATAATTATTATCAACAATTTTTATAATTTGTAGATATTTTACCTTTTCTCCTGAGTAAATACGAAATGTTAAGTGCTTTAAAACAGTATTTTTATCCTTCGAATATTGTAAAGAAACATTATCAAAGTGAATTTCTCCTTTTTGTGGCCAATCTGGGGGTGGCTGTTTATCGAGAGAACTTTCGTATGATGCTTCTGATTTCAATTTGGTATAATTCAGTATACGTTTAACAGAGTTCATCTGGAAAAGCGACTTTGTATAAAATAACGCAGTGATGAAACATATTAAAGTAAAAATACAGTGGTGCTTCGTATAACGTACTTAATCCGTTCCAGGTTCACGTCCGTTAAGTGAAAAGTCCGTTATACGAAACGCATTTTCCCATAGAAATACATGTTAAAACATATAATTCGTTCCGCAGCATAAAATAACCGAATAACCGTACTGTACCATAACAAAAAAATGAAAATGGAGCAGTCACCAATTATGCCGGGTAGTCAGATGTTGTGAGGAGGAGGTGGAGGAACACTTTCTTCACGCATTCATACAGATACAGACTTTTTACACATTGCAGCGGGTCTTTTTTTTATTGTTTTTTAATCGGAGTCAGATTCAGGAGAGGCTACCGG